AACTGACCCAAATAAAAGTGGGTCAGTATTTAAATCAGTTCAAAAATATAGGCATTTATGGGTCAGGTCAAGGTCGGGTCAAGAGCAGGACAAGTGAACCAGTTTTTTTGCACACCTCTAATAAAAACAATCAATTCTATAAATAGAATCACTAATGTCGAAATGCATATTCAATTGTTCAAAAATACATGGTGCAACGGCTGAATAACTACAGTGACACAAATCTATAGTCCTCCAAATCCAAGTTCTTCATCCAAATCTTTTTCTTCCAAGCCTTCATCTTCTCCTTCCACCAAGTCTCTTATTGCTAATTCAATTTCTACCTCTGCAGCAGCCATCTCTGCCTTCAGACTCTTAACATGTATCTCTAGAGCAGCCACATCATGTCTCCTCTTTTTCACCTGCACTGCTCTCTCCATGTAACTTTCCATACTTAAAGCAGATTGAACATGGGGTTCCAGCCAAGTCAAATCAAATCTAAATGTCTCAAGTTCCTCCCATAAATTTTGAAGATGCTTACAAGCATCAACTTCCATATCTTTTGTAAAGAACCTTGGGATACACCACCCCAAAAGCTAGCTCAAAGGGTGGGAGTGCCCAAGGCCTTATAAAGGCCACATTAGTTGCACATCTAACCAATGTGAGACTATATATCTCAACACGCCCCCTCACGCAAGAGCCCTTTGGGCTAGAAGCGTGGATTATGCACAGGCCCAATTTTTGGTTTACCTTTTGTGCTTTTTGTTTTAAATTCCACTTTAAAGTGGGGGACGGTGAAGCTCTGATACCATGTAAAGAACCTTGGGATACACCACCCCAAAAGCTAGCTCAAAGGGTGGGAGTGCCCAAGGCCTTATAAAGGCCACATTAGTTGCACATCTAACCAATGTGAGACTATATATCTCAACATCTTTGACCTTTTTAGTCTTAAGAAAATGTAGAACTCGACCCAAAACTGTGAATGCACATTCAGTAAACCTAGGACTTTTCTTCTGCTGGCATTCAAAAAGTGATGGATGCCATGAACATACTTCATCTAACAAAGGAACAAAAGCTTTTTCGATTTTCTCTAAACCCCTGAAATCTGAACATGTTTCCTTGCCTAAAGGATTATCAGTATGATCAATGGTCTCAACACAAACGTGTAGAATCTGCTGAAACAATCAATGGTACTAAATGTTTGATCTATATGATTCTCATGTTCTGGCTTGGTGACAAAAACCTTAGATTCGTTATACAAGTATCATTCACAAGAAACCCCTTGCTAGAATCATAAAGTTCAGCTAGAGGTATGAACCAGCTGAAACCCTAGCCATGCTCTCTTGCATTAAACTGTTGTTCTGTTTCTTGGCAAATTGATATGTCAAGAGTCAATTGTGTTGTACTAAAAATGAAATGATATGATTATTACATGGATATATGATTACAAGTAGACACCAGCATGAAGAAGATAAGGTTTCCATTAGGAGTTTGGAGGGAAAAGGAAGAAAGGGGATCCAAGGAAAAAGGAGAAGAAGGAAATTGAAGAATTTTTTTTTTTTTGAGAGTTAAAAATGGTAAGTGAAAAAAATTGAAGATTAATGAGATGTTTTTACTATTTTATCTGTTTTTTTAATTAATATAACTATTATAATTTATAAATTATATTAAATTTAAAATTTTAGACAAAATTATTAATGTACTTTTTACAATACAAAAAAAATCATATTTTTTTATGAAATTTATACACTCCAAATGACAAAAATTTCATAATTTTTTTTTTCGTTGGAATACTTTTTGTCGAAGAACGACGAAATTTTTTCTCCGATGAATATTTTTACAAAGATAAATTATCTATCGAAATTTTTGAAAAAAATTCGTCAAAAAGTTTTGATAAAAATGATTTCCTTCGTGAAATATTTTAAACGAAAAATGAATTCCGTCAAAAAAATTGACGGAATGTTTTTCGTTCAAAATTTCAATGTAAATGTGTTCTCACGAAAATTGTTTTGTCAAAATTTTTGAAGAAAATGTTTCATTCGAAACTTTCAACAAAATTTAAATTCTGTAAAGAATTTTGACAAAATATTTTTTTCGTCAAAATTTTTTATCAAAATAATTTTTGACAAAATATTTTACGAGAATATTTTTTATCGAAATCTTTAGATAGAAGAAATGTGTTCTGTTGAACATTTTGTTGGAAATATTTTTTATCAAAAAACTTGACGAAAATATTTTTCGTCGAAACATTTCGATGAAAATGTGTTTCGTTAAAAAGTTCGACGGGAATTTTTTTTGTCAAAAAGTTTAACGAAAATGTTTCCGTCAAAAACTTTCTATGAAATTTGAATTTTGTAAAGAATTTTGATGAAATTTTTTTTATAGAAATATATTTCCTTGAAAATTTTGATGAAAATATTTTTCGTCAAAAATTTCAATGAATATGTTTTTTTGTGAAATATTTTGAGGGAAGTTTTTGACAAAATTTAGATTCCGTAAAAAAATTTGACAAAAAAAATTTTCCGTCAAACTTTTCTACAGAAATGTTTTTAGTTACAAATTTTGATGGAAATAATTTTCGTCAAAAAATTTTGCGGAAAATTTTGATGCAAATATTTTGAGTAATTGTTTTACGTCGAAAGTTTTTTATGAAAATATGTTTCATCAAAATTTTGGACGGAAATATTTTCGTTGAAATTTTCGACGGAATTATAGAATAATTTTGACTGAATATTTTTTCACTAAAAAATTTATGTCAGTGATTATGGCAAAATCTTATTTCATCTTTATTTTTGACAAAAAAATTTTAACGTATATGATTTTCATCAAAAAATTTATCACTGTTTTTAAACGAAATATTTTTCATCGATAAATTCTGTCAGTATTTGAGACTTTTCTAATAATGTCACAATTAAAAATGATTCATATTTATGTAGTTTTCACATTTAAATGCTAAGAGTAGAAAAATAATTTTCAATATTTCCCCCTTAGACCCCCAAATTGGGAGAATTTTGATTTTAAAAAGAATGAAGGTTTTGGAGGGTTTAATAAAAATCTTCAAATTTTTCTCCTCATTTTTTTAAACTCACAAACAAAACCTCCATGTAATTGATGGGGTAGAGCTCATCAAGTGATTGTAGAGAGGAAGCTTTCGCGCGTAGTAGCTTTACTAATCGATTGGAATCTAGTCATCATATTTGTATACAGTGGCAGAGCGGTGGGACTTCGGTCCGGGCTAAATTTTAACAAATTATACTTATTATGTATAATTATACAATTAATTATATTTGGCCTGGATTAAAATTATAATTTGGCTCGGGTTAAAATTTATAATTTGACCCTATCTAAAACTTAAAATAATTTTGGTGAAAGATTTGGGTAAGTTGTATTAGATTATGTGTTCAATTTTCACTTGTATAAAAAAATAATTAAAAAATATTTAATAAAATTATAACTCTTCTTGGTGCTACCTGCTCCGGTGCTCTATATTTAATATAATTTAAATATAGGGTTCGCTTTTTTTGCAGTTACTGCAGATAAATTATATGCAGTGAGCCTAATACAACGTCGTTTTGGAGCGGAAATCATGATGTTTTTGTAATTTTAATTTATTTCAGAGTTATTGTAATCTTTATAATTATAATTGTTTAATTTTTCAATACTAAAACGACGCCGTTTTGAGAGTAAATGCAGATAACTTATCTGCAATAACTACAGAAATATTATTCTGTTAAATATATTATGATATGAACTAACTAAAATTACGAAAAATAAACAAACATATAATTTTTTAGCCCGGACTCAAATCGGAGCCCGGCTCCACCACTGTTCGTATACATTTCAAATAGTTTCAATAAATAGTTTTTACGATCAAAACGTAAAATAAACTAGCATATTAATATAGGGAATTATTTTTTTTATCTTACATAATAGAAATATTATCTCCTACACCCACATTTTTAAAATAGATCCCACAATTTTTTTTCTCATCTCCAATTTTTCTCTCTCTCCTATTTATTATTTAAGTAGGAGATAATACTTCTCTTATGTAACAGAAGAAAAGTATTACTTGATAATATAATGCAACAAATAGTTTCAAAAGGGAATTTTAATCTGAAATGCATTTAATTATTGAGAAATAAATTTTTTACGTTGTAGGAAAATAGTTATCTTATATTGTAGAAACAATATTGTAAATGAGATTCATAAACAAGAGGAAAGGGAAAAATAAAGATGTAGGATCCACCCATCTTTCATGTGCATAAAAAATTTAGTTATCTTATGTAAAATGTGATAAATATAATCCTTAGTTATTACGCATAAAATAAACTAGCATATTAATATACTGCAAATACAATTGTTTTGATTACTTAAAAGACTAACAAATTAATTAGGCTTTTACCCTAACGACACCCATGGGCAGGAAAATTAAGGAATAGCAAAAGGATTATAAATAGTAAAGTGGCCATCGATTAATTGTTAATACAATTCACCTACCAAAAATGTAAAACTCAACCATAGCAAAGCCTTTATATGAAATTCTCAAAAAACACAAGTTCCATTCACGAAAGAAATAATATGACCAAAATATTTAAAATAATATTCTCATTGCTCTCACTATTTATGAACAATTGTTATAGATTTAAAATAAAATAAAAAAACTATACTTGTGGATGTTGATTATATTAATTCAAGCCGAAGCAAGATCACAGTGATGGACGCAACATCTTCCTGCAAGATGAAATCTGTTGAATTAAATTAATAGGCATACTGGATTAATTATGCTCTTGTACTCACAGTGAATCAACCATTGCAGAAAACCACCCCAATTCGTATTTGGCATCATTTAACACCCAAATCACAAAATTTGAAAATAAACGGTATTGTTGAACTAATAATATTCTAACAATTATCAATGCTTGGATGCACATTCAATTGTTCAAAAAAGAAGAAGAAAAAAACTCATTGATTGCATATAGTCTGCCTACACTACACTGAATTCTTACATAAAAAACACAAGTTCAGAGTTCTCCATAGCCTAGTTCAGCATCCAAACTTTCTACCACTTCCACCAAGTCTTTTACAGCGATTTCAATATCTACCTCAATAGAAGCCATCTTTTCCTTCAGTCTCTTCTTTTCCATCTTTAGAGCTTCCACATTCAGCTTCCCCTTTTTCACCAGGGCAGCTCTCTCCATATAGCTTTTCGTACCTAAAGCAGATTGAACATGTGGTTCCAGCCAGGTCAAGTCAAACCTACATGTCTCAAGTTCCTCCCATAAAATTTGAAGATGCTTACAAGCATCATCATTCATATCTTTCACCTTTTTAGTCTTCAAAAAATGCAAAACTCGACCCAAAGCTGTGAATGCCCATTCAATAAACTTACGAGTCCTCTTCTGCAGACATTCAACAAGTGAGGGATGTCGTGAACATACTTCATCTAATAGTGGAACAAAACCTTTTTCTATTTTTGCTAAACCCCTGAAATCTATGAGCTCACAACATGAGGCCGAGTACATTTCCTTGTGTAAAGGATTATCGCCACTCTCAATACGCTCAGCACAAACTTGTGGAGAATCTGCTGAAACATCAATTTTGGTAACTGCTTTATCTACTTGTTTCTCATTTTCTGACTTATCGACAAAAATCTCAGCTTCGATTATACAAGTATCTTTCACAATAAACCCCTTGCTAGAATCATGTAGTTCAGCTAAAGGTATTAAGTATGGAAAACCCCAGTCAACCTCTCTTGCATTGAAGTGGTGTACATCATCTGGAAAGTAGACATATCAAGATTCAATTGTGTTGGATTAAAAATAAAATGATATGATTATCAAAGGATATATGATTACTAATAGACACTCAGTCACTACGTGGATGAGAGTTGATCCCAAAAGACTTAACTATAAACTTGAAAGATACCTTTAGTTATTGTCATTTTGCCATTGACCTGATTAATTAAAGCCAACTTGAACTCTGTAAATCTTCTCCAACCACAAGGCAACTTAGAAACATCCCCAGCATCCAAATAAATTGACAAGAAGTCCACATCGTTTCCCTTTGGAAAGATAATAATCCGCCTAAAACACACAAAGTCCAAATAAGCATGCAAAAATAATGTACAAATAAAAATCATGTCAAAGAGCACACTAGATTGCTGGTATAGTAAACAAGAACTGATGCAAGCACCATGAATGGCCGCAGATGAAGAAATTCTCAGAATACAGCTCCTCGCAGGATAATTTAGAGAAGTTCTGAATAGTCCATGTGAACTTCTCAAACGTTTTATCCCTTGTCTTTTGATTCTCCATTTCATCAACCTGTAAGCTACCAGCACAGTATCATTATAAGGGGCAAAAAAAAAACAGAAAGATTTATTTAGTAAATGAAGGATAAAAAATCAGGAGCAGAAGCAAAATACCTTACGATGAGTATGACTGAAATAGAGAGCGAGAGAGACAGAGACTTAATAACTTATAAATATTGAAAAAACAAAAACAACAAAAAAGAACCTCCAAGACCGCCATTTCGGAGTGCGAAACTTTCAAATTCAAAAGCCTCAAACTAAAATAAAAGCCAGAAAAATATAAGAACAAAAAAAAAATCATTAAACGAAATAAACAACTAATAAATCTTAAATGGAGAAAAATTTTTTTTTAGAAAACTCAAACAAATCCACGAACTAATTTTCTTGGTTTCAATCATTTGAGGTTATACCAGTTGATAAGAAAAAGTCGAGAATGGGCACCAGCGGGAAACAAAAGGACAAAAGACTCCACCTTTGCAATGCCCATCAGGCAAATGTGTGTGTTTATACGAACAAGAAAGGAAGAAGTACCCACCTGGTTCAATTCAACTCGTCAGACTGACTCGTTGTTTAACTCAGTTTTTCTCCACCGTGGTGAAGTAGAGTCCAGCGAGTTAAATGATAAGAGCAGAGCTCTTAAAATGAAACAAGGAACTATTTTATTCAATACCCAATTCTGTTATCAGCAAGGTATATATACCCCTGCACATTACAACTAATACGTTTGTGATTAATAACAAATCCCCTAATTACATGGAAAGCCCTAACTAACTTGAGTATCATATTATATCCCATATTAATTACCCCAATTAATATGTCTAGAAGTCCAGAGCCCAACTTGGAACACCTACCATTCTTTTGGGCCTAACCAACCCAACACCATCGGTATCATTAAACTTGAAAGAAGAAGCTTAGGGAGATATGACTACAAGATTGAAAGAGGAATAAGAGAGAAAAAGAGTTGGTTCAGGTGTGTTGTTTCATATTGCGATGACGAACAACAGAAATTTGAGGGGGAAAGTGAAAATGTAATAGATAAGAAGAAACTATTTCGGAAAGAGGAGGCCTTAACCACTTAAAAAAAGCGGGATCTTTCGATTGTGAAAATTTACAAGAGAGGGAAAGAATTTGGACAAAGTAAAAGAAACGAAAGAGTGCCAAATTTTAAAATGAAATAAATTTTCGGATCATTAAATTGTAACATTATAATGATAATGATAATTAATTTCTAATTTATAAAAGTATAATTGATTAAAATAATAATACTCTATAAGTATTTTGCTAAGAATGTTAACTAATTATAAGTAAAGTGATATATTTTATCATATATAAATCTATCAACAATAATACTGTGTTCTAATTATAAATTCATAATATTTTACATAATATTATGTAACTGATCCTTTATAAAATACTTTCTTTAATTCTGATTTAGAATTTATTTATATATTATATTAATAATTTGTATAAAGAAAATAAAATTATATCTTCAATGAAATATACAAACCTGTATGTGTATTCAAAACAAGCATGGGTCTATGCGTAACTAGTTACACAATTGTTGCATTAATACATAATCCATATGTAATTATGTGTGTGCTTAAAACAAACACGGGTCTATGTGCAACTAGTTACACAATTATTGCATTAATGCATAATCCATATATAATTACCCAACTAATGTAGTTGGTTGCATGGTGTATATTTGATGCGCAACTAGTTGTGTACATAATTCGTGCACAATATGCAAGCTCCAACGAGTTGCGCATGCACCATACGTGCAACTAATAACGCATCAAGTATATGCTTGCACAAAGGTGACAAGTAGTCACAAATGCTTGCACATCTATTTGCTCATATTGATCAATGCACAACTCACAAAAAATTATCACGTGGCAATTGCATATAAATCATGTGTGCAACTAGTTACATATACTTCGCACAAAGGCATTTGTGTCATATTATGTTGACCCAATTATCACCCTTAATTCCTATACATCTAAACCGAATGATTTTGAAATGTAGAATCTTTCTAAGCCTTTAAATATGCTTATTGCTCTTACAATATATCAACAAATGCTATACATTTAAAATAATAAAAATTCTATTCGTGGATGTTATTATATTAATTCAAGCATAAGCAAAAACACTGAATGAAAAATCTTCTAGCAATATGAAATTTCTTAAGTACTCAGACTGGGTCAACTATGCCCCTGATTCAACCAGTACAAAATGACACCTCAATTTGTGTTTTGTCATAATTTTAACACTCAAACGCCACAATATAAAAATGCCTTAGCTTCGAGCAACAATGAACCAAAAATAAACGGTATTGTTGAATTAATTAACAAACATTTTAAAATAAATCCTTTTCAATCAATAAGAATCATCAATGCCTGGATGCACATTCAACTAATCAAAAAAAAAAAACCATTCATTGATTGCTTAAAGTCTGCCAACAGTGAATCCTTAGATAAATGTTACAATTTTAGAGTTCTCAATATCCTAGTTCAGCATCCAAGCATTCTAAACCAATGTTGTGAAGGCGCCAATGACTTGATGAATATAGTGAAGCCTTGATGTAATTCCGCATGATGGGAAGAATATTGATAATCTAAGACTTGCTGGCTTTAGATTGATAAACCCATGAATACCCAGAAAAGATTTTGTTTGAATATGGATTATGGAAATGTATCTTCTCATATATTAATTAATATGATCTTATTATGTGCAATAATTCTAACTATACAATGGTGAATCAATTGTAATAAAGGAAGAGAAAAAATATATTTAGATAAGAAGTTCAAAATCATTACGGTTAAACTACTCTTTTATTGTTAGAATCAATTCAAGTTTGGGTAAAAAGTAAAAAGATCCACAAATGCTATAAGATTTTGGATTGAGATGACGTGCCAACTTCACTTGAGTTTTTCAATATAGCCCATTGAATAGTAGTCTCCCCCATTTTGTGATGTGCAACCATCCATTCAAAATCACACCAATTCGTAGCAACACAAGGAAATTTAGGGCCTGTTTGGAGCACCTGATAAAGAAGATAAGATATGATAACTTATTATATCCTACTTTTATCTCTTGTTTGTTGGGTCAATAGGATATGATTAGCTTATCCTATTGTCTCATTTTATCCTATCCAATACATGATTTCTTATCCTATGGGGGGAGCTGTGTTAGAATTCAATTGGATAAGACACCAATATTAGATACCCAATATATCCCCACGCTACCCAATATATTTGTATTTATTGCATTATATTTTGTTTTTTCTTTCTCCTTTCTCCTTCTAGATAATCTTATCAGATTGTTAATCAGGTGCCCATCAAACACAAGACATGATATAGGTTTATCAGCCCCATATCATATCCTACCCTTATCAGCCCCATATCATAAACTGCTTTGGATTTTAGTAGAAATGAATAAAAAAAATGGTATTCAAAAAATAAATACGACTTTAATTTAATAATTTTAATAAACAGAATCACAAATGTCGAGATGCATATTCAATTATTCAAAAATTCACAAGTCGATGGACCTCCATATCCAAGTTCGTCATCCAAATCTCTCTCTTCAAAGCCTTCTTCCGCTTGCACCAAGAATCTTCTTATTGTTTTAATCCTTCCCTCCAAAGAGGACATCCTTGCCTTCAGCTTCTTCCTTTCCCACTCTAGAAGAGCCACAGTCCGCTTCCATTTTTTCACCCACACAGCTCTCTCCATATAACTTTTCAAACCTAAAGCAGATTGAACATGGGGTTCCAGCCAGGTCAAAGCAAATCTAAATGTCTCAAGTTCCTCCCATAAAGTTTGAAGATTCTTACAAGCATCGTTATCCATATCTTTCACCTTTTTAGTCTTGAGAAAATGTAAAACTCGACCCAAAGCTGTGAATGCCATTTCAGTAAACCTACAACTTCTCTTTTGTTGGCATTCAATAAGTGATAGATGCCATGAACATATGTCATCTAACAATGGAACAAAAGCTTTTTCTATTTTCCCTAAACCCCTGAAATCCATGAACTCTCCAAATGAGGCTGAACACGTTTCCTTGCCTAAAGGATTATCAATATGCTCAATGGTCTCAACACAAACATCTGTAGGATTTGCTGAAGCATCGATGGTGCTTATTGTTTGATCTACTTGATTCTTAAGTTCTGACTTGCTGAGAGGAATCTCAGCTTCAATTATACAAGTATCATTCACAATAAACCCCCTCCTAGAATCACAAAGTTCACTTAAAGGTATGAACCATCTGAAACCCCAACAATGCTCTCTTGAATTGAACTGTTGTTCTGTTTCTGGCAAATTGATATATCAAGAGTCAATTGTGTTGTACTAAAAATCAAATGTTATCATTATGAAATTGATATATGATTTAAAGTAGACACCAAAAATGTAAAAGTGGCCATCGATTGTTGATAAGTCTCCGAAAGAGACTTAAAACTGTTAATTTTTTACCTTAAATTCAAGAAAAAGTTTAAGAGTAAGTCCCTGATGTGATATGTAAACCATGGTCATGTAACTTTAAAGTTTTATTCTGATACATGAATAATGGGCTGAATTATTTGAATTACTTGTGCAGGACCTCTAGCCCAAATTCAGAAACAAAACCAGCCCAAATGTTAACAAGTCTAGCTTTGCAAAGTTAAGAGGTGGCTTCTGTTACACAAAGGTAAATGAGGAATTGTATAGAAAGAGGAAGGGCTGAAGTGGAAACAAAATAAGAAAGTAAAAAATATCCCAATGACTCACAAGCACATCTTCAGGCCCATCGATCAAAAGAGAACCATAGCCACCATTCTTTTGCCTTTTTCCCATCTCACCGTACACTCATATCAAGCCATAACCGATTTTACACGAGCATGTGTGGAGCGGATTAAGGGTGTTGATCTCTTGGTGATGGACATGCAAAGGAAGATTAATCAAGTTATGAAAAGAGGGAGACACTTGGATTCTGATCTAAGGGCTCACGTTGCTGCTACTTGCAAGGAGTAGGAGATATAAAGAAGCTATGGGTAAAGGCTTTGGGGGCAAACTTCTTTCATGGTTCTTCTTCTCCATTTTTCTTTATTTTTATTTTTGTATTTTCTGGTACAGTAAATAGATGCTACTTTGTTTTGATTAGAACTTGTCAGCACAGTACTGAGGCTATTCTGGTGAATAGGACTCGGGCTGTGTTTTACGTTTTCTGCACTTTAGTTCGTCTATAATTTTTCTTTTTCATTTTGCTGTTTTTGTAGCTCAACCATTGTGGGTATGAGCTAAACCTTTTAAGGTTGGGTTTAGGTACCCGAACCTCAGTTATGGATAGTTGTTAATTGTTTTTGTTAAACTTTGATTCTCAGTTGTTTAATGCCATGCTTTGTATTTAAACATTCTGTCATTGAGGCCTGATGGTAGATGTTGTTTTAGGAAGAAGTCATCGGGAGATTGACTAATTCTGGAAAATGCATTAAGCACATGGACTTGATTG